TGTGCTTATTTGCCATCTAAATATCTTTTTCTGGTGAAGTATCTGTTCAAATCTTTTATCTATTTTAAAAATTGGGTTTGTTTTTCTACTGTTGAGTTTTATAAGGTCTGAAAATATATTCTGGACATAACTACATCAGAAAGCAAATTTGCAAATATTTTCTTCCAGTCTGTGGTTTGTCTATTTTCATTCTCTTAACACTGTCTTTTGAAGAACAGAAATTTTTATTTTGATGAAATCCAATTATCAATAGTTTCTGCAATATCTTAGAAATGTTTGCCCAACCAAAGGTCACAATGATTTTCTCCTATATTTTCTTCCAGAAGTTTTAGGCTTTATATTTAGATCTATGATCCATTTTTGAGCTCATTTTTGTATACGTTTGTGAAATATAGATTGAGGTTCATTTTTTTGTATAGAGATGAGCCCTGTCCAAACATCATTTATTGAAAAGATTATCCTGTATCCATTGAATTGTCTTTCCCATTTGTAAAAATCAATTTATCAACTGATCATAAATGTGTGGACTTTTTTTGAATTCTCTATTCTATCCCATTGATATTTATGTCAATACCCCACTGTCATGATTACTGTAGCTTTATAGTAAGTATTAGAGTTATACAGTATAATCTTCCAACTTTATTTTTCTTTTTAAAAGTTATTTTGGCTATTCTAGGTCCTCTGCATTTTCTTATGGGTTTTAGATTCAGCTTGTCAACTTCCACCTAAAACTCCCTGCTGGAATTTTTTTGAGATTGCACTGAATCTGTAGATCAATTTGGAGAAAACTGACATTTTAAATTCTGCCTTGTCCCTTTGGCAAGTTTTGTGCAGGACTATTTCCAACCACTCTCCCAACAATAAGAAACTTCTAATAGTGCTGATAAAAGATTGTGGGACCAAGACTATTTTCTTCTTCTCCCCGAGGAGTGGATTCTTTTTTTTCTTTATCCTTTCCCCAGCCACAATAGGTTTTCACCTATGCCCTGGAAATAACAAAGGGGCTGCCCCTTCCTCGGTGGCTTAAGGCTTTTGTTCTTACATGAGAAGTGTCAAAGTGACGCATCCTGTCTTTCTGGCAGTGACGGTCACTCCCTTCATTCAGGCCTGCACCAGGAAAGGAGAACCTCTGCCTTTCCCCTCAATCTTTCTTTAGAGGTCTGTGCAGAAGCCTAGAAGTGCGTGTGAACTCCGCTCGTATATGTGACTACCAATGGTTCTATACTTGGCCTTTAGCAACCCACCTACAAAGTTTAGCCAAATACTTCTTATCTGCTTGATTGGTGCCTAGTGTTTCTTCCTGTGACTGTGTTCTGTCACAAGTGAGACAGTGCTTGTGTCTCATCTCTTTTTGGAGGAGTCTGCATTTCCTTGGACTTTAGGCTACTCAGTTTCTCTGCATCAGAAGCTCTCTGATGAGTTCAAGAAATGTTATGATTTTGTAGTTTATCTGACATTTTATTATAGTTAGGGTGAAAGTGACATTCTTTCCAATTTCCTCATCCTAGGTGGGAACAAAATTCCCAAATTTAGCAACATTTCAAAGTGAATTTATTTTTTGTTAATCACTAATAGCATGGATTTGTGGAAAACACATATTCAGACAATGCTTATTACACATTTGGACTCACAGATTTTTGACAGACTTATTAGTCTGTGCTTCAACCCCTCCCTATCAGAGATCCACACACATGGTTTTGAAATCCCTATCACACCTTAAGATTTTTTAAAAAGTCAACTTAAAACCCTTTTAACCATGGTTTTGAAATGACTAAGGTCAATTGTAATAGCTATTGTAATTTAGCTAAATTTCAAATACAAAGGCAAAAAAAGCACCATTTTATTAAAGAAGAAAAATTATTTGCATACATGGTCAGAAACAGCTTCTAAGACTATATAAGCTTTAAATTTCCTAATGCTCACATATTTAAAGTCACTGTCACCATTATATGAGGTATAAAAGGTTCTAAATTGGCTAGAAATTTAACTTGGGACATAATGCCAGAAGGAAATATTTGTGATTCTGTATCTCCTACAAAAACACAGAATTATTTGACAAATAACAACAATTACACCTATTACTTTTAGCACTTTGATACTTATTTTCTGAGTAACATGTATAATCTGCAAATAAGAAAACTAAAAACTGCTGAGATTTTTCAAGCAAATTTGACAATCTAGTCTTTCATAGCATCTTACCATAAAACATATGACTTATTTTTTCCCCATTGACTGATGGTAGCATATAGTATGTTTGACTTTGTAATGATAATTTATTACATTAAATAAATTATCTTCAAATTTAAAGGGAAAAAAGAAGGAAAATAATCTTTAAAGTGTACTATTTTAATACATTACTTTATAGAATTTAATTGTTTCTGGGCTTATCAAAAATAAATTGACTTAAAACTAGCCTCTCAATTGTAATGATGAAAGTTAACTTGCATAGCAAAAGATGAGTAAAAATCTGCACAGCAAAGGGGGCAAAATAGAAATGACCCATTCAAATACTGTTTTAAAGAGTGCTTTCACTATAAAACTGTTAGATACACTTATCAGTACATAGAATCAGATAAGTGGTATCATGTGGTCAAAGATAGACTCAATAAATTCAAAAACAAATGAAAAGATTTTACTCTTGAAGACTCCAAAGAGATCACTTGTCAGAACAATGAATTCCTCTCTTTTATATTAATATCTGAAAGTAATCATCAAGGGAGAAAAAAACTAAGTGTTTTACTAAGTTCCTAGCAATACCATGCTGGAATCTGTGTCCTACCACTCTTCAGTTAATTTTTTAATGGATGATCATTTAAACAGCTGCTCTACTTCTTTCTTTATATACATATATTAAACTATTACACATTTCAAAGTGAAATACATGACACTTCTCCCTGAAATAGCCAAAAATTGGCATTCTAGTATTCTTGGAAGCATTTATCTGCTAGAAAAGATGTGGCTTTGATTCCCTGGTGGTAAGATGAATTTCCTTCATTATCTTCAAGGTCTGTATGTATGATAGGATTGAATTCCTTCAAGGTCACCCAAAGTCCTGAGAGCTCCAGAGAATTATTTTGGCACTCTGACTTCTATTTTCTGTAACATTTGGCAATGTCTCAAAGTTTCATCAGAGAAAAAAAATAAAACCCACAAAATCTATGGGAAAAATGTCATAACTGACTATATTTGCAAAGGCAATCATATTCATTCAAGAAATTTTCAGTATGAAGATGTGTATCAATTATAGAGTGAAAGACTTGGCCTCTATTTAAAATGCTGTCTTTATAGTCCACTGGGCATTTATTTGTTTTAGTCAAGGCTGGTATAGGTCTGCTCTCCTAATTTTTGTATTAGATGTAAAATTAAATGCAAAACATTTCAAATGTATCAAATCCAACTGTTGTAAACCCTTTCCACATAAAACTTCCTTCCACCAGCTAACATCTTACCAGAGATATTTTCCTATCAGCTGAGAAAAATAATTATTTCATTAGATACAACATTCCCAAGAAAATAAAATTTATTTATAATGTCAAAAATGACTATTTTTAAAAAACACTAAATTTAAAAAACTATCATTGACTGTGAAGGATGGTTCATGAATGAGCACTCAGTAGAAGAACATGAAGGAAGTCCTGAAATTATCTTAGAAACATTTATCTGCCCATATCTATATACCATCGTGATTAATTTGCAAATCACCATGAAAGGAGTTTCTAGGCAATTTCCCATAGTACATTAACATAGTATGGTGAGTTTTGTTAAAAAAGGTCAAGACAAAGTTCTGAAAAGTTGGAGCAAGAGGGGAACAGAAAACAAACGAGTGAAAATCTAAACCCTATGTAGCATAATCTTGCTATCTTGAGTACTTCCTCATTTAGGTCCTTCTCAAAACACCAAATGCACAGTTACATTTGCAATTATACCGATACCCAATATGTGTTTGCTCAACTAAATATTATTTGAAAATTAAATAAAGATCACAGTTATAAAAGCAAAAAAGAAAATTCCACTTCTCAAAATAGTCCTAATACTTCTTCCAGGATTGTGGACAGAAAGTTTTTAAACAGAACAGATCTTAATTTATACTGTCAAATTTCAGATTTTAGGTTATATAAAATGTAATGGCTAAGAAGCAAGATGGCAAACAAAGCCATATTTATGTTAGAAACATAAAGACAAGCCGGGCGCGGTGGCTCAAGCCTGTAATCCCAGCACTTTGGGAGGCCGAGGCGGGTGGATCATAAGGTAAAGAGATCGAGACCATCCTGGTCAACATGGTGAAACCCCGTCTCTACTAAAAATACAAAAAATTAGCTGGGCATGGTGGCGCGTGCCTGTAGTCCCGGCTACTCAGGAGGCTGAGGCAGGAGAATTGCCTGAACCCAGGAGGCGGAGGTTGCGGTGAGCCGAGATCGCGCCATTGCACTTCAGCCTGGGTAACAAGAGCGAAACTCCGCCTCAAAAAAAAAAAAAAGAAACATAAAGACAATATCAAAATGCTTGAATGCTGACTGTGGAATTAAAGGTAACCACACAAGTTTGATAAAGAACAGTTAAGTTCATCCACTCCATAGTATGTAACATGAAAGGCAATTGTTTTTAAGTTATACTTGGTCAACATCACCATGCACTAAATAATGTGCTTTACAGAGCATATTAACAGCCATAATTCCTGTCTTTAATATATTATAATTTTAAACAGACTTATATACAGATAAAAAGACCTTGGTATTCAATTGAACAAGAGCTAAAAGGTTAAAGGAAAGATACCAGCTAAGAGTTTTAAAAATCCACTAGAAATAGTGTTTACTGGTGAAAAGAACAAACAAATTTATAGTCAAATACAATACTGATTCTTCATCTAAATGGACTACATGAAAGAAAACAAAAACCTAGAGAGCAGTAGGATATATACAAAAGTAAAGAATTCTCATATTTGTTCAATATCCAGACAACTATCAAACTATTATATTATTACATAAAAAAACAAGTCTTACCTTGTTGCTGTGAAGGTGCAATATCACATTTACTTCTAATGCGTAGGTAACTTTGTTCTGGTTTGTGTTCAACTTGCTTAACATTTTGATTTCGCTTTTGTGGATACTAAATAATTTAAGATATGAGGTCATAATACTATTTTTTAGTTACTTAAAAAAATCTGAGAAGCCAAAATATGCAGGTGTTTGTTATATAAAATTTTAATAATATGCTTCCTTTCTAGTTGCTTTTTATTGCCATTTATTTATTAGCACTTCTACCAATAAATAGGTGATGAGGTATATATTACAAAAGAAAAGACAATGCAAAAAAAAAAAACATTTAAAAAGACTTGGATCATATATACAGATTTCAAATCTACAAGTCAATTCTATTTTTATTAGAGAACTCAGAGTTACTTATAACTCAAACTACTTTATATATATATAATGGATTTAGACAGGATAAGCACTTAATTTGGCAGCAAACTCTTCCATATAACCATTTTTTGCATAAAATGAAAATCTGCATAATGCACTGCAATTTTTGAAGAGCTTTTACATATAGTAACATCATTTAATTCTCAGAAGTGTGAGTAGGTATTATCCTCCATTTGCCATTCAAGAAACATATGCTTTATCATAAGCCCTATCATCTCTCTCCCTTACCTGTAACATAATCAAATTTGAAATCTACAGTAGTCACAAATCTCATAATCATACATCACAGAGTGTGTGATTTTTTCTTTCTTCTCTTTGTTTTATGAGCTTACTTATGAATAAGCCCCTGAAAACAGCTATAAGATACAGGTTTTTTATTTCTTGTTTTTAGTTATTCTTGCCCTTCTGACTATAAAGATACACTTTAACAGGAGCTTAAAAAGAAATCTCTGGACCCTTATCAATAAATACAACCAGAGAAGAAGCTGAAACATCTGTCCACATGGCCACTGCAGCTTTGGCAGGCATCCTCTTTATCTAGGAGTAAAAATGAGTAGCTTTAAGCTGCAGTAATAATAACTAGCTTTCACTCTGGTCTTTCAAGTTTAGAGCTGTTAGTCATGTATGTTTCTGCCTTGAAGGAAATATTATCTTGGTGTTTATTTCTAAGATGGGTACTAGGACTATCTCTGGCTCTGGCTGCTGACACTTTGAACCTCTCAATTGGTTTCGTTACAGTGAATAAGAGCTCTGAACACAGGAGCTAAACTGCCTGTGTTCAAATCTGGCTAAGGCATTTTCTAGCTCTGACCTTAGGCAAGTTATTTAACTCCTCAATACCTCAATTTCCTGATTCATGAAATAAGGATAGTAATAACAACTACCTCATTAGGCTGTTATAAGGATTAAATGAGTTAAAATACATAAAAAACTTAGAACAGCATCTAGCACTATAAATAAGTGTGTGCTATTATATTACTAACCATACGTCCCTGCTAGCTAAAGAAATCTAACAAACAAATTTTTTGAGGCCCATTTTTCTGGTAACACTTTATAGTTTTATTCTAAAAACAAGCCACCAATTAAAAGGAAGCAATCTTTCTTTTATTTTTAAACAGTTGTATTAAGGTATAAGTAATAGACTATAAACTGCACATATTTAAAGCGCCTAATTTGCTATTTTGACCTATGTATAAACCCATGAAACCATCACTACAATCAAGATAATACAATAAACACATCCATCAATCTCAAAAATTTTCTCACACCCTTTTATCTTCTCCCTCTTGCCTGTCCCACCTCTATCTCCTACTTCCTCGAACAAGAACTGAAACACTTTCTATTACTAGAAATGAGTGCGCATTTTCTAGAATTTTATATAAGTAAAATAATGAGGTTTTTTTTTTTTTTTGGTATGGCTTCTTTACTCAACATAACTTTTGTAAGAACCATCCATGTTATTGTTTGTATTAATAGTTCATGTTTTTGGTTGCTAAATATTCTACTGTATGGGATACACCATAATTTGTCCATTCACCAGTTGACGGACATTTGTGTTGTTTCCAGTTTTGGGTTACTACAAATATAAAGTTGTATGAACATTCATGTACAAGTCTTTGTGCAAACATATGTTTTAGTTTCTCTTGGGAAACCAGGAGTGAAATGCATGGTTCATTTGGTGGGTGTATATTTTTAAAGAAATGGCCAAGCTCTTTTCCATAGTGGTTGGATCATTTTGCATTCCCAATCAGCAAAGTATGAGAGTTCAGTTGCTCTGCATCCTTGCTGACACTTGGCATGGCAGTCTTTTAGATTTTAGATATTCTAATGGCTGTGTAGTGGTAAATCACTGTGGATTTATTTTGCATTTTCCTAATGACTAACTCTGTTGAGAATCTTTTTATGTGCTCATTTGCCATTCATATATTTTCTCTGGGTAAAGTACTTGTCCAAATCTATTGCATATTTTTTAACTGGATTGTTTGTTTTCTTAATATTGAGTTATGTGAGCTCTTTATGTATTTCGAATACAAGTCTTTGATCAGAAAAGTGATTTGTAAATATTTTCTCCCAGTCAGTGACTTGCCTTTTAATTCTCTTAACAGTATGTTTTGAAGAACAGAAGTTCTTATTTTTAATAAGACCAATTTAAAAAACTATTTTTCATAGATAGTACTTTTGGTATCATATTCTAGAAATGTGTGCCTAATCGTGGCCACAAAAAAATTTTTTATACAGAACTTATTAACAGATAATTGTTTATTAAACTAGCTTTTCCTGATCATTGCTTGGTCACAGGTTGGTAATACTGAACCCTACATAATCATGTGTTCCATAAACAATCTTTATCTCACATATTTTTTTGGTTTCATCCTTAACACATGTACTGCTACACAATACCATGAATAAATACTTATTTACAAATGAGTTCAAAATGAGTAATGAATTGTCAATACACAAATAAAAAACTATTTAATAATGAACATTTTTTAGATTGACAGCTTGGTGAGCAATTAACCTATATTTTCAGTACACAGGATTGCATGGGCCATTGGCTTCACTCAGTATAAAATTTCTTATGTAATACATTTCCTACGAAACACCTTTTACAAATTTCAATGTAATAAACATTTACTGAACACCCACTATGTGCAATGTACTGAGCTAGGTATTGCATGCGGATACTGAGATATAAATGAAATAGCGACCTTACTTTTATATATATTATTTTTATGTTTTATTTATTTATTCATTTTTTTGAGACAAAAGTTTCACTATGTCACCCAGTTGGAGTGCAGTGGCATAATCTGGGCTCACCGCAACCTCTGCCTCCTGGGCACAAGCAATCTGCCAACCAGCCTGCCAAGTAGCTGGGAGTACAGAAGACTGGCTAATTTGTGTGTTTTTTATAGAGACAGGATTTCGCTACATTGCCCAGGCTGGTCTCAAATGCCTGGACTCAAGCAATCAGCCGCCTCAGCCTCCCAGAGTGCTGGGATTACAGGTGTGAGCCACTGCACCTGGCCATTACTCTTATTCCTTAATTTAAAGATGAGGGAATTAAGGCTTAAAAGAGGCTAAGTAATGTATTCAAGGGCATAGCTTGGGTGAGCTAAAATTTATATTCAGGCTTGAGTTAGGAAATAAAGGAGGCATGATTTGAAGCTATCTGACTCCAGAGGCTTGGCTCTTGATGGGCCAAAACATGCTAAGGCAATATTGTTTCAATTCTCATTTTAAATAAAATACATGTGCTATTAATTTGGTACCTGAGAAAAATCTTCAGCGGCTACTGGTAAATTAACATCATTTTCTCGTGCTGTCAGAAGTGTTGTGGGAGGAACAAGGTTAGAATTTGGCTCCAACTCCAATTCTCCCAAACTCATTGGACCATGACTAGCATATGACTCTTCATAAATACCACCTATTATCAAAATGTAAACAAAAAGTTAAAATATATTGTTAAATTTATCTTCAAAAATGAACAAGTACTTGACTAAAACTACCAATATTTCTCACATGCTAAATTAGAAAAAGCAGTGCACTTCCAACAAAAACACCTGGACCAAGCCTTCACTGCAATTAAAACCAGAACTCAGAGAGAATGCAAAATATACCTATGTTCAAACAAATCCATGGAATATTCTAAGTAAAGATTCCAATCAACAAGTTACCCATGCAGTCCATCTGCAGCATTCTTCCCACATACAAACTCTTAATACTCCTGCTTACTTTTCCTATCTCTAAGAGTCAATAGAATACTTTCTATCTAAAATATTTTTTTTTTTTGAGGGGGATGTAGTCTCGCTCTGTCGCCAGGCTGGAGGGCAGTGGCGCAATCTCGGCTCACTGCAATCCTCACCTCCCAGGTTCAAGCGATTCTCCTGCCTCAGCCTCCTGAGTAGCTGGGACTACAGGCGCGTGCCACCACGCCCAGCTAAGTTTTATATTTTTAGTAGGGACGGAGTTTCACCAAGTTTGTCAGGGTGGTCTCGATCTCTTGACCTTGTGATCTACCTGCCTCGGCCTCCCAAAGTGCTGGATTATAGGTGTGAACCACAGTGCCGGGGCCATTAAAACATAATCTTATAGCAAAGGGCAATTTCCTGCCTGAAAAATGTTGGTATTGCTTAACTATATTCTGTAGATTTTTTTCTTCAAGTGATCAAGCTGGGTCTGGTGGCATGTGCCTGTAATCCCAGCTACTCAGGAGGCTGAGGCAAATCGCTTGTACCCTGGAGGTGGAAGTTGCACTGAGCTGAGATTGCATTACTGCACTTCAATCTAGGTGACAAAGTAACATCCTGTCTCTAAATAAATAAATACATAAATAAACGGCACCTCAATCAAATCACTAAAAGGAAGGCAGGAGCAGAGATATCTGTGTATTTAATAATAACATCACTGTATCTTTGTATTGCACTATATACTCCAACCACTTTCATATATGAGTACATTATCTTATTACATTTGAACTTTACAATCATTCTGTAAGATAGGTTAGATAGTATTATAACTGTCTTTCACTGACATAACTAATGTTCAGAGAAGTTAACTAACTGTTTAAAATCAGAGAGCTAGTAAGAAGCACAGAGGAATTAAGTCGCTGCTCTCTGTTTGTCTTGCTAGACAACCTTTCAAAATATAACCATAGAAATAGGCCTGAAGAGTTATATACAAACTAAATTGTTTAAAAAAAAAAAATAAAAATATATATATATATTTTTTTTTGTTTCTTTTTTTTTTAATTGTACTTTAGGTTTTGGGATACATATGCAGATCATGCAGGACTGTTGCATGGGTACATACATGGCAATGTGGTTTGCTAGCTCTATCCCTCCATCACCTATAACTGGCATTTCTCCCCATGTTATCCCTTCCCAACCTCCCCACCCCCTACCATCCCTCCCAAGCACCCCCAAAAGACCCCAGTTTGTGATGCTCCCCTCCCTGTGTCCCTGTGTTCTCATTGTTCAACATCCGCCTATGAGTGAGAACATGTGGTGTTTTTCTGTTCTTGTGTCAGTTTGCTGAGAATGATGGTTTCCAGATTCATCCATGTCCCTACAAAGGACACGAACTCATCATTTTTTATGGCTGCATACTATTCCATGGTGTATATGTACCACATTTTCCTTGTCCAGTCTATCATTGATGGGCATTTGGGTTGGTTATAGGTCTTTGCTATTGTAAACAGTGCCACAATGAAATATATATCTCTACATATTTTTAAAGACAGAGTCTCACTCCTGTTGCCCAGGCTGGAATGCAATGGCATGAACACGGCTCCCGGCATCTTTGACTTCTAAGGCTCAGGTGATTCTTCCACCTCAGCCTCCTGAGTAACTGGGACAATAGGTGAGCGCTACCACACCTGGATAATTTTTTGTATTTTTAGTAGAGACAGGGTTTTGCCATGTTGCCAAGGCTGTTCTGAAACTCCTGGGCTCAAGTGATCTTCCTGCGTCAGCTTCTTAAAGTACTGGGATTACAGACATGAGCTACTGCACCCAGCCTGAAAAAATATTTTAAAGATGCCATAGATATTTTCCATTTAAAGGCATTCTGTTGACAATTTTCTAGATGTAGCAAATAATCACACTCCAATTGATCTTTTATGTTAATCTAGGTTTTCAATGGGGTTTTGCATAAAGCAAAATACATCCATTGAGTTTTAATTCTTTTTCTTTTTCTTTTTTTTTGAGATGGAGACTCACTATGTCGCCCAGGCTGGAGTGCAGTGGCACGATTTCAGCTCACTGCAACCTCTGCCTCCCAAGTTCAAGTGGTTCTCCTGCTTCAGCCTCCAGAGGAGCTGAGGCTACAGGCATGTGCCACCACATCCATCTAATTTTTGTATTTTTAGTAGAGACAGGGTTTCCTCATGTAGGCTAAGCTGGTCTTAAACTCCTGACCTGAAGTGCTCAAGTGACCTCCTCGCCTCAGCCTCCCAAAGTGCTGGGATTACAGGTATGAGCCACTGTGCCTGGCCACATTGAGTTTTAATATTTACTATTATAGTATTAAATCTGTAAAAACAAGTTATCAAAATTATTACCTAATTCTCATTTAATTATCTAACGTAAGATTAAATAATGGTAATAATACCTACAATTTAGAGTAACTAATGTTCCAGGCTTTATATTTGCCTCTTTATATTCTGATATGCTTTTGTCTGTTTTTATGTCACTTGTTCAACATTTTTCTAAGAGTGTTTGGCAAATCAATTAAGAGAAAAGAATTACATATAATGTTGAAAAAGAAGATATTGAAACCTCTTTTGCTGATAATATGGTATATGCCTAGAAAACCCAAGAGACTCTAATGAGAAAAAAGAACTCTATTAGAACTAATAAGAAAATTTGGTTATGTGACTAGGTATCAGATAAATAGATGAAAATGATTAGCTTTTCTCTACAGTATAGCAACATAATCAAGCCATGAAAGCACAGAAAGTATAAAAGATAGAAAAAAAATCTATAAATGTTTTAATTATATGGCAAAAAAAGATCATCAACAATGTCAATGAACAAAATATAAACATGGATAATGATATTTGCAATACAGATAGTAGAAAACATCTAAACCATAGAAACAGCTTTAAAAAAAAAAAAGAAGAAAGAAAAGAAAAATTGAGAACCCTCCAGATGGGAAAAGAACTTTATAGGAGCACATTTGGCCATCAAACATATGGATGAAAAGACATATAAATTCACCAGGAGTCAGAAACATTTCTACTCATGCATGTAAAACAAACTAATCAATACAATTTCAGGAGGGGATATAGGGAAAGGGCACTAATAAATTGCTTACAAAAATAAATTGGTTTAAACTTTCAAGAAAGCAACTTGGCATTATCTATTTCTAAACCAAAGATAAATTTGCTCATGTATAGAAGAGCTTCCCAGGAGTACATACATTGGAATAAGGAGGAGTATAAAACACACCAATCTGTTAGGATACGTGTGTGGATACTTTAGCATTCTTTACAGTGCAGGGAAATGGTAATAAACATCCATTAACAGAGAAACAATTAAATAAATTATTGGAAATCTACACCATGAAGTTTTATGCAATCATTAAAAAGAATAAATCTAAGTAATACTGGTTGACCCGGAATAATCTACAGGATTTACTGGGTAAAACACAAAATGCAGGCAAGTGTGCATGATATGATCTCAAGTTGTAAAATAATAGCAATCACACACACCATATATATTGTGCATGTGCGTGTGTATATAATTATATGTGTGAGGTAAAAAACGGGAAAGTTATACACCAGAATCTTAACATGGGTTACTAGGGATAAGGCATACATGGGACAGGAAAAAAGTGGTAGTGGGGTGGAAGGGCACTCAAAAAGTATGTAACAGCTTCCACATCATATGCCATCCTGTAATTTAACAGATATTTACTATGTTCTGTGTACTACATAACCTCTAGATGACAGGGATATGAAAGTAAACAAGATAAAGTCTGTACCCTCACGTGAGATTACAAATCACATTACAGAATTATACAGAGTACATATGACACGTATTTAACCCAGTGACAAGTGGTCAGGAAAGGATTCCATGACAGCAATCATAATAATGATGAATTTGCTGTGTCTTCTAACAAGCAGGCTCATTGAGTGTGGGTGTCTTGCCTGTATAATGCAAGTTAGGCCTTTAAAAGGGGATATTTAAAATATTATTTCATTCAAGTCAGATTTAGTTTAATTAATCATAACTAGAAATCCCTAATTTTACTTTCCTAGAATTTTATTGTAGTGGAAAGCAAACATGGCAGACTTTTAGAGAAGACTAAATTCGCCTAAAATCACCAGTCCAGCAAGAGTTTTTGGTCTGGTATATCTAATGGATTTTTTTTTTCATTTGTATGAAAGTCAAAGGAATCATAAATTCAGTATGTATAAACCCCACTCAACCTTCTTCTTCCTAATTCTGTCCTTCCTCCATATTCTCTCTCTCTCTCAGTGACTGAGATGACCATCTATCCAATAATTCTAGCCAGAAACTTGTGGATTTCTTAAGACTTTCCCTTTCTTTTGTACTGCTCACATTCAAACGAATTCCTGTCCATTTCCTTAATTCTCTCTCAAATCTCCCTTTTTATATATCCTCGCTACTGAATAATGTCTCACCAGGCCAACTTTAATGGCTGTTTAATCAGGCTCCTTGCATCCTGTCTTAACTCTTCCAATCTATCCATCACATTGCGCTTTAGATTATCTTGCTAAATGAAAGTAAATATGATCATATCACTCATTTAATTACAATTTTCAGCAGACTGACGAATATCACACAACATTCAGAATTGACAGAAACTTAAGGCTGAATTGTTCATGGGAATAAGTATAAAGCAAGGTTGTTATTATTTCCCATTTTGTGCACAAAAAAACTCCTTAATAAATCATCCAGGGTTTTTCATGACCTGGTTTCTGCTCCCTGCTGCAATTTCATTACATCCTAAGTTCTAATTCTTTGACAAAAGCACCACATTTCCGTGATTAAGGCTTGCTTTTTTTTTTTTGCTTTTGTTTCTTGTCTCATTGCCTATTCTGCCTGAAAGGTCCTTCCTCACTCACCGCATGGCAAGCATTTATTCACTTTGAGGAGTCACTTCAAGCAAGACTTCCCTCATCTATGAAGTCTTTTCCTGAATCCCAACTTCAACCTCAATTGACCTGTATCTCCATTCTATATGGGCTTCTTGACAATAACCACAGTACCTACTGCATGTTTTTGTTTTCTTTATCTAGTATGTCTACTAGAGAAAAAAAATATCATTGTGAACAGGGCCTTACCACGTTTCATATTCCTAGCACCTAGCACATGCTCAGTGTACAGCAGGCACTCAAAAATGTCTTCTGAATAAGTAAATGAAGAAACTGGAATACTCTTATCATAATTTACCATCTGGCTAATTCCCTTAAGATTTAATTTCACATTGGCTCTTGCAGAAAACCTTTTCTAAGCCCTCACAAATAAGCTGAGCTCCTCCTCTGCACTCCCACAGCCGTCTGTGTTGTACTAGTCACACAATATTATAATTGTTATTTATTTCTCCCCCAGTACTTTGTAAACTTCTTGAGAGCAAATATCTATCATCTTTGAATCTCGAGTGCTAAATGTAGTACTTACACAGTTCTAGGTATAAAGTGGGTATTCAATATAGGTTTTTTGAGTAAATGAAAAGCTGTAATTGGTAGTATATCCCAGAGTCCACATATAATTCACTCAAATTATAGCTTACATTTTAGAGTTCCCAAGACAACTCCTCAAAGCCAATTTTGTATCTTTAGGTTACTCCACAAAACCTGAGAGCCTTAGGAATGGAGACAGTGATAGAGGACTACAGGTTGCAAATAGGATATTTCCTGAAAATTAGCAGGGGTGGGGAGGGGCAAAGTAAGAACAGATGAGCCTTTGTAAGCAAAGTTATTAAAAATCAAGATGAAAAGCAATACCAATCACTAGCATATATAGTTGATTCTCATCTATGGATCATTGTTTTACTCTGTGATCACCAGGAGAAAATCTTGAAACAAGAGGAAGAAATCAGTTTTCTATAGGCAAAGTCCTTTTAGTCAACTGTTGATGATTTCTGATTCTATTAAGTACATATAAGATAGTACATTCACACAGTCCAAGCATTATTAAAGAGAACAACACCATGTGCCAAGCACTGTGCTAACTACTTTACATGTACTGTCAAATATGGTACCTAATAACTGTAATAAGGTGTACACTATTACCTCCAAGACAGCCTTCAACGATCCCTGCCTCCTGGTATTCACACCTTTTTAAAGTCACCTCTTAAGTTGTTCCATAATTGGTCTGTGTTATCAATGGGATATGACAGAAGTGACGGCATGTTCCTTTGGAGATTAGGTTATAAAAGACATTATTGGCTGGGTGTGGTGGCTCACACCTGTAATCCCAGCACTTTGGGAGGCTGTGGTGGATGGATCACTTGAGGCCAGAAATTTGAGACCAGCCTGGCCAACATGGCAAAATCCCATCTCTACAAAAACATACAAAAAGTAGCCAGGCGTGGTGGCTTGCATCTGTAGTCCCAGCTACTGAGGAGGCCAAAGTAGGAGAATTGCTTGAACCCAGGAGGGAGAGGTTGCAGTGAGCTGAGATTGCACCATTGCATTCCAGCTTGGGCAACAGAGCAAGACTCTGTCTCAAAAGAAAAAGACATTATGGTTTCCATCTTGATTGCTTACTTTCTCTTGAGGGATGCCTGCTACCGCGTCATGTATGGCCCTATGGACTGGTTAACATGGTGAAGACGTGAAGCCTCTTGCTAATGCCATGTGAGTGAGCTTGGAAAGTGGATCCTTCAACCCTACTCAAGCCTTCAGATGACCTCAGTTCAAACCATCATCTTGACGGCCAAATCAGGAGAGATCCTGACAACCACCCAAGTAAGTCACTAATGGATTTATGACTTTCAGAGTTGTGTGAGATAATAAATGTTTGTTGCCTTCAGCTGTTAAATGTGGGGTAATTTTGAACATAGCGATATTATCCCCACTTGACACATGAAGAAATTTGGGCTCAGGAACATTAAGTTACTTGACCAAAGATACACAGAGCTGGAAGTCAAACCCGTTTCTGAGACTCTCAAAGCCTAAACTCTTAGCTACTCTACGATACTGCCTTATATGTGTGCTCAATCTTATGTCATAACATATCATTATTTTTTCCAATTAAATACCTACTATGTACCTAATATTAAAAATGCACTGTACCATAGGTAACCTCTAGGGCTACCAGAGATTTAAGAAAGGACTGGATAGACTGTCTCCTCAGGGAGTTTATTCCGTAGCATCTCAACTAAGTACCCAGTTGCTCTCAGGTACCTAGTTCTTAAATACCTAGTAGCTCAAGTGATCTTTGAGAGCCACCTAGTGTTAACTCTGTTTCATTGCATTCTGCACATTTAGCTGGACATAAATGTAAAAGCCACATTTTATGCTATTTGAATCCTACAAATTTTAAAGAATGTAAAACATTTAATGCTCTCATTATGTGTACGAAATGAGAAATAAGGCCAATCTTTACATTTATTCACATGGGAAATTAAGTCTTGAATTTCTGTCAATTCTGAATAACATAAGGTGTTCACTCAATATGAAACTAAATACTCTAACTTCAGGCTTTTCCTTTTCTGACTTCTGGCAAATCTGCGTACCTTCAGAAGTTTCTTTTCACTTAAGAGAAGATATGGGCATTAAAAAAATGAATGAAGAAATGGGCATTTAAAAATCAGTAATAAGAATACAGAAGATCCTCATTTATTTGCAAATTATATATTTGATACATACTTGCTAAAATGTATTTATAACCCCAAAATCAATACTCACATCACCTTCGTGGTCATTTGTGGACATATACAGCATGGTGAAAAACTTAAATTACCTGATATGCATTTTTCCAGTTGATGCTGAACAAGGATACATTCCACCTACTTCAATTCTCATACTGTAAACAAGTGACCTTTTCACAGTATATGTAAAGCTGTGTTTTTCACATTTTTGTGAGTGTTTTTTTCTTTTGGAAATTTCACTGTTTAAAATGACCCCTTAGTGCTGAAGTACTGTCTAGTGTTTCTTTTTTTTTTGAGATGGAGCCTCGCTGTGTCGCCCAGGCTAGAGTGAAGTGGCATGATCTCAGCTTACTACAACTTCTGCCTCCCGGGTTCAAGTGATTCTCCTGCCTCAGCCTCCCAAGTAGCTGAGATTACAGGCGCCTGCACTATGCCTGACTAATTTTTGTATTTTTAGCAGAGATAGGGTTTCATCATGTTGGCCAGGCTGGTCTCGAACACCTGACCTCAGGTGATCTGCCCACCTTGGCCTCCCAAAGTGCTGGGATTGCAGCCATCGTGCCTGGCCTGTCTAGTGTTTCTAAGCACAAGAAGGCTCTGATGTGTCTTATGGAGAAAATACACGTGTTAGACAGGCTTCCTTCAGACACAAGTTATACTGCTGGGAATCCAAAATATATATTAAATAAGATTTCTTTAAACAGAAACACAAATAAAACCAGGTTATGTATTGATCAGTTGATAAAAATGTTATGACCAGAGACTTACAGAAACCTAATCCTGTATTTACCCTAGGAACAATGGTTCAATATTTGTTAATATGTTTGTGGTGATCACAGAATATAACAATGGTTCACAGATGAGAATCAACTATACACGCTAGTGATTGGTATTCTATATTCTATCCTTATTTCCAACATATCACAGCAGAAAGTTTATTTAAACTCTAAAATAGTCTTGAATGCACTGAGTGCTACTGAAATTCATATGGTATAAGGAGTAAATGTCTACAGTATTATCTAATTTAATCTTGTCCTAAACATGAAGATCTGTTGTCAGTTTTCATGGATTCATTCTATTTTTCTAGTATATATTTAAATGCATCTGCTGGGAGCGATAGCACACACCTGTAATCTCAGCACTTTGGGAGGCCAAAGTGGGCAAATCTCTTGAGGTCAGGAGTTCAAGACCAGCCTGGCCCATATAGCAAAACCCCGTCTCTACTAAAAATACAAAAATTAGCTAGGTGTGGCAGCACATGCCTGTAATCCCAGCTACTCGGAAGGCTGAGGCAGGGGAACTGCCTGAACCTGGGAGGCAAGGGTTTCAGTAAGCTAAGATCGTGCCATTGCACTCCAGCCTGGCAACAGAGCAAGATAGCATCTCCAAAAAAATTAATAAATAATAAAATAAATGCATCATAATTAAAAAGTTTTACATGTATGTATATTATCAAAATTATATTACCTACCACCCAATGGTTCATGTACCAACATTGATACATGAATCACATTTGGAAAAACACTGCTATACATACTATTAAAAAATTTATCACCAAACTTTTCAATTATTAAAATTCTTTTTAATAAAGAAATTGTGCAAGCCCCATCTGAAAGTCGGTATACTTTTCTCAATTCAGATTAGGGATACTACTATGACACATGAAGAAAGAGTATTATGGTATATACCTGAAACTGTGCCAAATTGCTGAGGTAATGGTTTAGGATCACACTGTTGATCCAAAGACTCTGCATTAGTGACAGGTGGCTGAATATAGACAGAGTGTCCCATTAAGATGTTCTCTGCTGCTGCTGTTAGCTGGGGTCTCTGTCCTTCACTAAGTTCACCCATACTGTTTTCCAAGTCCTTTAAAAAGTAGAAACAACTGTCAAAACCATCATATTAAAATCAAGTAAAAACAGGAAATATTTGCCAAATATCACAAACAATATCCCTTGACTCCTTGGAAAGTATTTTACAAACTGCCTACTCTGCTACATATAAGAAGTTAGTCTAATAAGCCTAGTGATAGGCTTTGTTTTCAATATAATTTCATATATTTTATGAAATCAATCACTATTTTTCAAGATCCAATTAAATAGCCATAAAACATATAAGAAAAATTCTATTACAACTTATACACTAAATGAGGCCAGTATGGTGGCTCATACCTAAAATCCCAGCACTTTGGGAGGCTAAGGCGGGAGGATCACTTGAGCTCAGGAGTTCGAGAACCAGCCTAGGCAACATGGTGAAACGCCGTCTCTCCAAAAAATACAAAAATTAGCTGGGCATCGTAGCACACACCTGTAGTCCCAGCTACCTGGGGGGCTGAGGCAGGAGGCTAGCTTGAACCCAGGAGGCAGAGGCTGCAGTGAGCCAGATTGTACTATACTCCAGCTTGGGTAACACAGTGAGATCCTGTCTCAAAAAAACAAAAACTCAAAACCACTAAATGCTGGTATGCATTACACATTGATCATACAGCTTAAAATGGGAATAACAAAAAACTTCTCTCATTCTTCATGAATAAAAACTGCCTAAAATTTGTCAGTGTAAACTTTACAATTAAACAACTGAGGAGAATAATATACTTTAAACAGCATAAAGGTTACCCTTACATCAATAATTACACTTTTATAAAATTATAGAGATTATAGAAGACTACTTTAGTCATATTTAATAATGTTCTTTTCCCTGGAAAAAAAATAAAAATACAAAAAGCACAAAAATTGTTGGCCAGGCGTGGTGGCTCACGCCTGTAATCTCAGCACTTTGGGAGGCCCAGGTAGGTGGATCACCTGAGGTCAGGAGTTTGAGACCAGCCTAGTCAACATGGCAAAACCTCATTTCTACTAAAAGTACAAAATTAGCCGGGCATGGTGGGGCATGCCTATAATCCCAGCTCGAGAGGCTGAGGCAGGAGAATCGCTTGAACCTGAGAGGCGAAGGTTGCAGTAAGCCAAGATCGTGCTATTGCACTCCACGCTGGGCAACGAGAGCGAAACTCCGTCTCAAAAAAAAATTTGTTTTAAATGAAATATATGAAATAAATGAACAGTTGAAAACATGTAAGACTCTTATTTTCTTTCTATATTAAAAAATTATATATCCTAATCACTAGTACATTTTATGACTTGAGATATTCTAATTAATGAATTTACTAATTAAGAAATGAAGAAAAATTCCAATATCTGAAAGCTCTCATGTTTCTCATTCAAAAGGAGTTTAATTTCAACCAACAAGTGTGTTTTTTTACTAAAATATATGAAGAAATCACTGCTGAAGCATCTTTGATGATTCCATTGACTATAAAATAAAATCCAAATTTCTTAGCTCAACATTCAAGATTCTCTTCAATTTGCCTTCATTCTACCATGAATGAAGTACATCTCTATCTCCCCTTATTCCCTTAGCCTGGCTCTTCTTTAGGAATACCGATTGCCTCGATATCCTTTAAATTAAAAAATATTGTTTCATAATTAATATGAAATCCCTTGGAGACTCTTGGGTAGTGTTTAGAATGATGACAGATGTGTTTTCCCCAGAAATTAATGAGAAATATTTCACAATGCCTATATTACTCTGCCCATCTATAGTAACTTCTCTGTTGTGAATCTGTTTTCTAGAATACTATTTAACATCTTAAGAATACTCTAAGACCTTACTGAAGACTTATCCTGCCTATTTACAAAATGCTCTCATACTCTTAAGTATCTCTGAGTTTTGGATTATACTCAGTGCTTAAACACATGCCAATTTAAGTCAGGCTGCCTATAATATAGAGTAATATATCTAGCCAATCTACGTATATGTACAAGTTACAGTTTTGCCATCAGCCAGCTCTCACTGACCTAATGCCCCTCTGAGCAAGAAGTTCCAAGCACAAAGAAAAGTCACTATTTTCTTACCAAAGCAATATTTTAACTTATAGTATATCACTATTACTAGTTCTTATTACAAACCAACCAAATACATAATAGCCCTTTAGACAGAAAAATATGCAAAATGTCACTGTTAATCAGACTGGCAAAAACTGAAGATTGAAATCATTATGTGTAACATGGGAAAGGGGCTCATACAATTAGAGGAAATTTTTCAGTACCTAAAAACTTAAATTATGAATGCTTATATCTTTGAGTCAGCAATTCCATGCTTTAGTATCTGAATCTAGAAAAATAATTTCTAATGAGTACAAAAAAAGGATTTTATAACTAATACAGTTTGATTAGAGAAAAATTGGAACCAATCTAAAAATCCTTCAAAAAGGGAATAAACTATGGTATACTACTGGGTAGATAAAAAGAACATAGTAGATATTCAGGATTTATGTTAAATTTTAAAAAGCTGGTTGCACAGCAATATATACACACACCTCAAAATTATATACTCAGCCAGAAATGGTGGCTCATGCCTATAATTCCAGAACTTTGGAAGACTGAGGCAGGAGGATCACTTGAGGTCAGAAGTTAGTGACCAGCCTCGGCAACATAGTGAGACCCCAACTCGACCAAAAAA